AGAGATATAGAGGATTATGAAAAGGAAAGCTGAGGAAGAATGTGGCATTTAAATAGATACTTCCAGACTTCAGCAATATTTTGGCTTAGTTGGCATTGTGGGGCGTTCCTTGTTTTATTCAGATGTAGCCAGGCACCCACTTTGTATGACCTATAGGGTATAGTGGAACCTCGAAGGTTTGGGGTCATAGGTACTATATATATGTACGTGTGTGTACATATACACACACACACACGCATGTATATACATATATATATAAATATTTCTGTAACCCAATATTTTTATGTCTCCACCTCTATTGAAAAAATCTCAAAGGGAAACTGAAGAGCAAAATTTAAAGAAGGGATGGACAGTTTAGGTGTAATAAAAACATAATGTTGAATGCTGTTGAACTTCCTCTCTGGAGAGATGAACAGAGCTGACTCAGTCGATAGTGTGGTCATGAGGCACGGTGAGGACATCAGAGCAGGAAAAACAAATTTGTTCTAACACTGTACAGTCATTTTCAGACTGATTCCTGCTTCAGAAAGGTGCTTTCTGCCAGGACTTTTGTCTGAGAAAGAGTATCAAAATAGGCGTTATCAAAGCAAGGGAAGACGACCGCAAGCTATCTTTGCTGTGATGGTGATGCTCGCCTCCGCTGCGGCGGCGGGGGGCCTGATGTGGCTGGGGGCGCGTTGCCCGTGAGAGCTGGGAGCCGGCCCCACGTGCTGCCAGGGCCTGGGCTAGCTCTAGGGGGAGTCAAGAGAGAAGGTGTTAGCTATAGGTGAGTGAGTCTGCCAGCACTCCTTTCGTATAATGAAGCCGAGAAAACACTAATATCCAGGCACTTTAGTATATTCACAGCTAATGTAACATCCTAGTTGTTCCACAGCACTAATGGCTGTACATGCTGAATTCTTGTGGAGTGTTACTGTATTTCCATAGCAAGAGAAGAGTAAATAAAGTCAATTTCTAAAATTGTGTGTTATCATAATTGGATATTTATCTGTCTTTAAGGATATTTTGAAAGAAGCAGTTTTTAGAAGTTCAGAGCTACTATTAAAGTTCTGTCATTTCCGGTGATGTTATGTTGGCTCGTCCTAACACCTGCCTGTTGCTGTGTCCAGGTGGAACATGCCTGTCTAATATTAGATTTCGAATTTTACTAGTAATACATCATTTAACATGTCAGAATTGTTGCTGACTTAAATGCTAAAAGTAATTTTCTTAAAGCATCAAATTCTTCAACTGATAAAAGATATCAATAAAAACATTTGGGAACTAGGATACAGTAATGCGTGTGTGGGAAAATAACCATACGCTTTACAGAGTGAAAAATCACCATAATTTTTGGTCTGCGTTCATCTTTGGGCTTGTGCTCGTAAGGAACGTGAAGCTTGCCTGGCTGAATGAAATGTCCGGGACAGTGATAATTTCCAGTTTGACTAGTTCTGTTTGTTACTATCATGTAGTCTGCTTTAGATGCCCGCATAAGAGTTATGTTTCCAATTGCATCCTGTGTGTGTTTTCTTCCCCTTCCTTCCATCTGCTTGTCCGAATTACCAGTGTGGTTAATTTTCTGTTCTGACGGCTGGCTATTTTCCATCCCTTGTTAACACCATGATGCCTAGAAATGCCCAAGGTGGTTTGGAGGTGATTGCAGTGGCTGCCAACATTGAGCTCCCTTGGTTGGGAGCAGGACAAATGGGGGAAAAATAGGAGGTCGGGGAGAACTATTAAATTTTGTTTCACAGTTAGGGAACAATTGTATAAAGAGAAAACAAAGGATTGTAGAGGGCTTTATTCATTGAGGACTGGCAATATAAATCAGGGAGGAGATATTGCGCTAGACAAGTGAAAAAACTGTTTTAATTAAATGCAGGAGTTCAAATCACTGTTTAGCATAACAAGGAAATACATGTGTAGAGGCTCTTTTTTATGCTGTTACTGGCCTCCTAGCTTATCCACTTAGGAACAAGATTATTGCCTTGCCGTTTGCACACCGTTGCTTAAGGTATCTCTTAATTAAGTAACTATCATAGTTGTGCTGTGCTTTCAGGTAGAGGAATCTTGCCTTCTAGCAGTGTCTAAGCTTTTGCACATTATCCTTCATTCCTGAGGGAGGCCAATGTGATTAAAATATTTTAATACGCTCTTGGTAACATTGGTCTTTGTGTCCAGATGGCCCAGGCTACCACTGTTGACTGTTATTGATACATTTTGTCTAACTCTTACTGATGCAGCACAGGGATATTATATTCAATTTTTAGTCTCTCCCCATATGTTACTCTTCCAGTTTTTGTCCACATTAACTCAAATGAAGTACAAAGCAGTGGGATGTGGGATTTCAGTGTGATTACAGTGATAGGTTATTTGTCAGTATGCTATAGAGATGTAGTCT